AATATATGCTCTTTAAGTCTTTCTGTTGATAAGATTTATTTTGAACGTTAAAAACTTGGCTAATATTTTTATAATAAGAAATAGTAGGTAATAGCATAGACCTTGAAAAAAAACTAAATTGTGTTTTTAACATGTTCCAGCTGATTTAAATTCCCTTTTTCATATAACAAATCATTTGCTTCTTTCACTAGTTAGAATTATATAATGGGGATATTTTTACCAAGAAGATAGTATTGGTGATAAAATAATGCAAGTTATTATTAATTTTATCATTGCTACTATTATTTTATTAACTAAAGGTTAAGTGCAATTTCTTTCTGATACTTACGAAATGCCTTCAAGAAGAGAGGAAATGTGTTTTAGATATATAGGTAAAATCGTATTTCCATTAATCTGACTATATTCTAAACCTCCAGATTTTGGAATCAGAAAGTGAAATGGTGGAATAATGATATTTAAGAGACAGATTACTTTAAACCAAGAAGCATTTCACCTATATTAAAGTAGTGAATACTGTATATGGTAAAGCTTAGAGATTAAATTCGGTTGATAGTTTAACTTATCATCTTGTCACTTTTTTACTGTTCTAAGTTTCCTCAGAGGAAACACCCAGGTGTGTGTTTTATTAAGGTCTGTGTCATTTTCTTAGAAAATTTAATGGTTAATTTTCAATTTTTTGATACTTGTAGTTCTTTGCCAGAACTCCTTGAAAAAAAAAGACTTATTGATCTCCATACAAATGTTGCCACTGCTGTTTTAGAACATATAAAGGTAAATTTAACTCCCTCCCCCACAGTATTTATGTATTCTATTTATGTCGGGTTTTATACTTTTTAAGATGATTTCATATTCCTGATCCCATTGAGGCCTCACTATAACATTATGAGATACAGTTACCAAAGGCAACATTATTACCTTCATTTTTTACAAATGAGGAAGCTTAAGAATCCAGAAAGAATAGTGATTTGCCAAGGTCACACATTCAGTAAATAGAAGTTAGAATCTGTGATATTTCTATTATGTTGCCTCAATATTGCCTCAATTCTATCTCTACACTTACTCTGTTAACAGTAGCCCTGTGTCTAACCATCAATAATACAGAGTTAGACACCCCTTTTACTATAGTACTATCTAAAATGTCCATTAACTTTTAGTTTTAGATGAGTCTTTCACCATTAAAGCTTCTGTCTCCTGTTGTACTGTGATTTTGAAAAAAGTAGATTGTATTTTCTATATATTGTTATAGCTCTTTTACCTCATTACTTTGTTCATGATTATCCCATATCAGCCTGACTTAATCAGTCCCTCAGTATTCTACTATCACTTATTCTCTGGGTGTGGAGCCGAATTTCAAAGACAGATTGACCAAACGCTAGAATATGGTTATTACTGACCCCTGCTTTCGGTGTGATATGTTACATTTGAAAAAGGAATGTAAAAAAGCTAAATACGCTTGTTGCCTGTCAAGGATGTTGATAACACCTTGAATTTATGGAAAGGGGACTTAAACATTTTTCTTTTTTAATGATCTAAAAAGTCATAAGAATAGGAAGGAGTTAGTACAGATGGATAATGGACATTGTGCAGCATGGAATTTAAACATGCATAATTTCTTTTGTTCCACATCTCAGTATTGATATTTGCTATTTTCATGTACCTACAGGAATAGAAATAGAATAATTGTGCTATTTATAGATAACTCCGCTGATGATATTTCCCTTCCATATGTAGCATCTTTGTAAAATGGGAAAAGGTTGCTCAGATCTGTAAACACCTGAGGTCATTGTCTCCTGTGGAGATAACGTATATAACCAGGCGAAATGTAACAGAGAGCTATATTGAGAATTTCCTTCAGTAGGAAAGAAGGGCTTTGCTTACAAGGTGAAGAATGAATCTAATATAAAAAGTTTTAAAAATTTACTGTTTCAAAACAGAATATAAGTTCTAGTTTATATCTGTTAAATTGTAATTATATACTGAGGATCTTATGATCCATTAAACATTTTTAGAGTACTTGCTGTGTGCCAGGCAGGGTGCTAGGTGCTACATGCAAATACATAGACAAGAAGTAAAAAACAAATTCTAAGAAGTTAACAACAGTTGTTAATAGTCCTATATGGGCTTTAAGATTTAAGCTGTTCTTTGGATTTCCTTTGACTTTAGTTTTTTTTTTGTTTGTGTATTTTTTCATTAGTAAAGTTTATTCTTATATTTTACTTTCTGACCTCAGGTCTCATAGCTGTAAAACCAGGAATATGCCAAGCTCAGCTCCTCCATCAAACCTGATTTGTGTAACCCAAAGTAACTGATTATTGTACCTGTGGAAAGCACTCAGTTTCATCCTATTCATAAAACTTTACAAACATTATCCTGCTACAAATTTATATGAACATACTCCAGGTCAGAGACTAGAGCTTATGGTTTGGGAAAATTCTAGCTAAAGTAATTGACTTATTCAGTCATGTTTTTTGAAACTGTATATTGTGCTAGGCACTGGAAGTTCTGTGGTAAATAAGACAAGTTCTCTATTCTTTTAGAGCTAATATTATAGTAACAATAAACAAAGTATCCAAATTAGAAAATAGATAAGACAACTTCAGTCATTTAGGTGATGTAAAAACAAGGTGATAGAGAACAGCTGAGAGGGCTACTCTAAGTGGTTAGGGAAATCACCTTTGATGTGATGTTTGGGTTGAGACCTGAATCACATGGAGCCACTTAGTAAAAATCTCAGGGCCAACCAATCCAGTCAGAGGGACTAAAAAGTGCAAAAGCCTTAGGACAAGGAATGAGGTTGGTGTGTTTAAGGATGTAAAAGAAGACTAATAGTGCTTAGGGTGAGGAGGGAAAAAGTGATAGACTATGGGATCAAGAGAAATAGCAATTTAAGTGTGATGGGAAGTCATTGGAGATTAATGACATGATCTGATTTCCGTTTCAAATGGAGAATTGAGTATGAGTGATGGGTGAGTTCTAGAAATAAGTGTGGAATTGAAAGACAGCTATTACTGCTGTCTAGATGAAAAATGGTGTTTTTTTTAAGGCAAAATTTATAAATTCTTTATGATGTTTATTTGTAATTTTACTTTAATGATTTTATATGAGTTTTTCAGAATCATTTTGTGCTGGTAGAGGCTATCTGTCTGACTTTAACATGCTACCATTGACCCACATAATTCTGCTTTAAGACCTGGTAATTTGGCTCTCTTTATAAAACAAGTTCAAACTAATTTGTCATTCAATGTGTTAAGTGATTTTATATAAAAGCCACATATTTTGGGATGATTGTTCTGCTTTAACTCAAGGAGGACACGCTTTTAACAGGGTCTGATTTAAAGAAACCATGCTACAAAAGACATTCACTTGGAGAAGGAAAATGATGCCCTCTATAGGATACACTGTTACTCGTTGGGTCATTCTTAAAAAACCCAGGCAACATCAGAACATCTTTAAATATCATTGATAAAGGAGAATACTTATCTTAAATATTTACATATCAGTTATAGTTGTATTTAATAAACTGCATACTCTAAGAAATATTCTGATACAAGAAATTCTTTTAGTAGAGAAAAATTGGAATGTTTTCTGTGAAGAGTCCTTGTAATGTTGACCCTCTCTTTTAAGTTATTCTTCTTCCTTGTCAAAATTAGGATGTAAATTCTGCTATTTATTTCTCATTACTGCTGGTTATAAAATTTCTTCTTAAAGTTTTCCATAATTATTAAATTTCTAGCCTTATAATATTTACTTTTAAGTGGCATGTTTATTTGTACTATTACTATTCTACACCAGGTACCTCTGGCTGTAATGTTCCTATTAACTAAGTAAGTAGTTTTCTCCATGGTCGCTTGCTCTTTTCCCCAGAGTTTATTGACTATTTGAGCTTCACTTCTTTGTAAACTTTTATTCACCTAATATTTTTTATTACTATTAGGAAGAATATTATGACTTTTTATGAAGAGATCTTAGAACATTTCCCTTGGTATTCATTCATCTTCATTTCAGTTTTGCATATTTCTCCTTTTGGGATGTTTAGATCATAGCTGCTTTTTACATTTCCTTAGATCATTTTCTGAAGCAGAATACTAGAAGGAAATAATTTCTTTAGAAGTCGTGACAGTTATCTGGCCATCATTGTTTTGGTGGAAAGCTAGAAGTAGCACCTCAATTTGCAACAACTTCGGCAAATGTTATGTTAATATTCTAAGGGTTTTAGTGGCTTGGGTGGTTAACTTTAGTTTAATAGATTAAAGAGTAAATTGTTGAGTTCTCATTTGTTTCGAGTAATCCATACCTTTTAAATCTCTCCTTAGCAATTCTTTCATTTCTAATACAAATATGGCTTCACCACTTGCTGGTTTTGGGGGAATGACTCCTGGGATTACTTAATTTATAGACAGATTTTAATTTATTTCAATTATTGTTGTCCCACCTGCATAGTCAAACTGAATTAAGTACTCTTTAGCCGATACCTAAGAAAAGGAAAAGACCCCTATGTGTAAGTCATAGTAGGTGAGAGAGAGAAATGGCATGATGTACTCTTTCCCCTGATGCTCCCACCTGAGAGGAAGATCTCTAACATCTGAACACTCCATCTGAATACAGCCAGCAAAAAACAAGCTGTTAGTAAGCTATTATGGATTGAGGCTTCATTGGTGCTGAATTTTTATTTTTGTTTTGCTGCTTCTTGTGGAGAAAGTTAAGAGGTACTGAATTAGATCTAAAGACATCATCTGATCAAGCAGATGTACTACTGCCTTAGGTCTACACTCTGTACAAGGTTTAGCCCTTGGTAGCAGTGCTAGCTTTTAACCTTAGCATCTCCTCCAGGGGGCTTATTTTACTTTGGCTCAACTTCTTTATCTCTTCTAGGGGAAGATAAGCTTTAAAAATAAAGTATACACTGTCTTAGCTGATTTCCACTAGTCAACACACCAAATTAACTGATGCCCTTTATTCCCTCTATAAAACATAGTGGCTGCTGGCCACACATGCAGACAGCTAGTGGCTAGGATGCCACACAGGTTGAATTTTTTGCTTACCTAAGAGTTATTTATATTTGATTCCAAACTATTTATGCCAGTTGTATGAGTAGGAAAAGAGGATTGTTTCTTTAAAACTAGGTTATACACCTTAGACTTATTGAAGATGGTGATTTACCTATTTAAATTAGTACTAGGTTAAAAAAGAATTTAACTGTAAAAATTGGGAATATCTTGAAAAATACTAAAATTGCTTTGCAAACGTCTGTAAGTTTTTTGGTTCCACTTCAAAGAATCTGAAACTAGAAATCATAGGTGATCCCTTATAGATGTGCTTTATGGAGGAAAGAAAAAATTTAGTGAAACCTCTGTACTCAAAGAAAAGGTATCGGACCTACATCAGCTGATGAGATGAGCATAAGGCAGGGTTATCTGCGCACATTCCGACCTTCTCTGTGACAGGCATCTCCAGCATGGAGGCAGCCCTGCCTCGCACTCACCCATGGAGCACTGAGACACTGGGATAAAGACCTTTAGAGGAAATGGGAGAAGAAAAAGGCTGAAGGAGAACAGTTTCTTTACCATTACTCTCTGGACAAGATATTGGCTACATTTGCAAGGGGCATTTATGTGCAAACCTTTAAACAAGGTGTGATCTTTATTTTATCTGCATTTAGTGTTGCAGATGAGTTGTAAACCCAACTGAAAGAGGAATGCCCTTCAAGAACTTTCTCTGAAAACTCCAAGTGTACATTTAAGTGTTACTTGAAAGGAGGACCTTTTCATGGCAGCCAGTAGTGCTTTCTGCTAAGCAAGATTGGTTTATATGATCATAATTAATATTTGCTGAATAATACACTAAAAGTTCTTCATGAATAGTGTCATCTATGGAGCTTAAAAATTGAGGAAAAAAGAATATATACATCATGTCTGATAGAAAACATCTACCACGATGCTATATAATTAATGTATGCCGAATGTGGTTCCATATTATTTCATACTTTCAGAAGTCCACTGAGAAGAAAACGCTCACATTGCCAACTTCGTATACTTTGTTGGTTGGTACTACTTAGGAAGGGTTCATAGAAACACTCACCGTATCTCTTCAACTTTATCTTTCTGCTCCCTACACCTGTTGCCTGTTCTCTCATATTCTGTTCCCTCTTCCTCCACTCGTACATATGCAACAAAAAGGGAAGGGAGTATTTATTTCTGCAAATTGTATCAACTTAATAAGGACTGAGAAATCATGATTGTTAAATAAATGCAATAAAAGTTGAAAAAAAGATAGTGGTGTATTTTAGGTCTTAAGTTAAAAGTCAGTATTTAGAATGTATGTGTGTGTTTTATATTATACACACACACACAAAACACAGGTTTGTGAGGGTTTTTTTGGTCATTCTTTACATTAACTGACTTTGATTAACTGATCACCACTCCCCTATCACAATAGGGAAGAAATTTTACTGTACTAGAAATCAGAACATTTCTCTGGCTGTATTTTTTTAATTCTTTTGAAACAGAGAAAGAGCATAAGCAGGGGAGAGGGGCAGAGGGAGAAGGAGAAGCAGACTCCCCGCTGAGCCAGGAGCCCGATGGGGGGCTGGATCTCAGGACCCAGAGATCATAACTTGACCTGAAGGCAGATGCTTAACCATCTGAGACACCCAGGAGCCCCTCTCTGGCTATATTTTAAATGATCTCAGTATACATACCAAGCGAATGTTCATATGATCTTGATGTCTTTTCAAGGCAGGGGGACAATATATTCTGTAATAGAAAGTCCCCAGTGGATAAGCTATCATTGTCTTTTACCTCTTCTTATCCAAATAAGATGAGTCACTATCAGCACTTGAAATTTTCTTCAATTTTTGACCAAAGGTAGCTCTTAAATGAGTGGAATATCCTTTAACTTCTCACTCACTGTGAATTTCAGGAGACTATTTCCACAACTCTCCAAAAAAAGTGTGAAATTAACTTTCTCTAGCTCTTTGCTCTCACTTCTCTGCCATCTGCTTTTGTGAAGATGAAGCATTGTCACTGAGATCCAGTTATAAAGATTAAATTCAGAGAAATGAAGACTTCTAAGAACATTCAATAAGAAAATAAACAACCTAATTAAAAAATGGGCATAAGATTTAAACAGACTTATCTGAAAAAGGTATATAGATGACAAGTAAGTTTAATCTCAATCATTAGAAAAATGGAAGCAAAAACCACAATGAGACATCCCTACACATCTATTAAAAACGTCTAAAATTAAAAAATCAATCATGCCAACCTTTGGCAAAGATACAGAGGAACTAGAACTTTGATACACTGCTGGTAGAAATATAAAATGGTATATCCACTTTGGAAAATAGTTTCTCAGTTTGTGAAATGTTAAACAGAAACCTATCATTTGTCCAGCCATTCCATTCCTAGGTGTTTACCCAAGGCAAATGAAAGCCTATGTTTATTGTACACAAATATTCACAGCAACTTTGTTGTAATAACCAAAAACTGGAAGCAACTCAGTGTCCACCGACAGCTGAATTGGATAAATAAATTATATCCATAAAATGGAATACTATTCAGCAATAAAAAGGAAGATACTTTGACACATACAACAATATGGATGAATTTCAAATACACTGAGTGAAAGAAGCCACATTAAAGAAGAGTACATAATCTATGATTGCATTTACATTAAATTCATAAAAATGCAAGCTAATCTGTAGTGACAAAGTGCATATCACTGCTTGCCTAGTAACCTGGAGAAGAGTGTTGGAGGGCCAAAAGGGAGGCATTACAAAGGAAACTTTTCTGGGTAATGAATAGTAGGTTCACTGTCTAGATCGTGTTCATGATTTCATGGGTATATATACATACATATGTATGTTATAAATAAAGATGCTATAAATGCCCATGAGAAGGTTTTTGGGTGGATATATTTTTAGCTCCTTTGGATAAATACCAAGGAGTTGGTTGCTGGATCATATGATAATAGTATGTTTAGATTCGTAACAAATCTGCCCACTGCCAAACTGCCTTCCAAAGTGGCTGTGCTATTCTGCATCCCCACCAGCAGTGAATGAGAGTTCTTGTTGCTTCACATCCTTACCAGTATTCAGTGTTGTCAGCGTTGGATTTCAATGATTCTAGTATATGTGTAGTGGTATCACATTGTTTTAATTTGCAGTTCCCTAATGACATATGATGTGGATCATCTTTTCATATACTTACTTGCCATCTGGATCTTCTTTGGTGAGGTGTCTGTTCCCATCTTTGGCCCATTTTTTAACTGGGATATTTTCTTAATGTTGAGTTTTAAGCATTCTCTATATTTTGGGGGAAAATGTCCCCTAGTGGATGTATCTTTTGCAAATATTTTCTCCACGTCTATGGCTTGTCTTCTCATTCTCTTGACGGTATCTTTCACAGAACAGAAGCTTCTCATTTTAACTAAGTCCAGCTTATTTTTTTCTTTCGTGGATCATGCCTTTGGTGTTGTATCTATTAAGTCTTTGCTATACCTAAAGTCATCTAAGTTTTCTCCGATGTTACCTTCTAGGAGTTTTATAGTTTTGAATTTCCCTTTCGGTCTATGATCCATTTTTAGTTAATTTTTGCTAAAGGTAGGGTCTGTGTCTAGATTCATTTTTTTTTCTTTTGCATGTAGATACCCAGTTGTTCCAGCACTGTTTGTTGAAAAGACTGTCCTTCCTCCATTGAATTGCTTTTGCTTTTCTGTGAAAGATAGGTTGACTATATTTGTGTGGGTATATTTCTGCATATCTCTTTTCTGTTCCATTGATATATTTGTCCTACTTTTTGGCTAGTAACACATGGTTAGGTATTGTAGCTATATTTTAAGTCATAAAGTCCTCTATCTTTTTTCTTCTCCTTCAATATTGTTTTGGTTATTCTGGGTCTCCCAGGTCTCCATATAAACCTTAGAATCAGTTTGTTGATATCTACAAAATAACTTGCTGGGAGTTTGATTGAGGTTGTATTGAATCTATAGATCAAGTTAGAAAGAACATGGAATATCTCTCCATTTATTTGGTGGTTCTTTGATTTCTTTAATCAGAGTTTTGTAGCTTTCCTCATACAGATCTTACACGTATTTGGTTAGATTTATAACTCTTTCATTTTTTATTTTTTTGAGTACTAATGAAAATAGTATTTTTTATTTAATTTCAGATTTAAATTGTTCATTGCTAATATATCAGAAAGCAATTGGCTTTTATATATTAGCCTTGTATCCTGCAGCCTTGAAATAATCACTTACTAGTTCCTGGAGTTTTTGTTGTTGTTTCTTTGGCATTTTCTATATAGACAAGCGTGTCGTCTGTGAACAAAGACAGTTTTATTTCTTCTTGCCCAGTCTTTATTCCTTTTATTTCCTTTTCTTGTCTAATTGCATTAGCTAGGACCTTCATTATGTGGTTGAAAGAGTGCAAGAGGGGACATCCTTGCCTTTTTCCTACTGTAGCCGTTGACTTTTGTATATTAACCTTGTATCCTGCACCTGTGATATAGTCGCTTACTAGTTCCAGAAATTTTTGGTTGTTTTTTGAAATTTTCTACATTAACAGTTGTGTCCTCTGCAAATGAATAGTTTTGTTTCTTTTATTCCCAATCTGTATACCTTTGATTTCCTTCTCTTGTTTATTGCATTAGCAAGGGCTTCCCATACGGTGTTAAATAACTAGGAGTGTGAGAGGGGGGCATCCTTGCCTTGTTCCTATCTTAGCTGGAAAGCATCTAGTTTCTCATTATTTGCATTCTATTTTCTGAAACTGATTGTAGAGAACTGTTATAATTTCTGCTTTAAGTGTTAGACAGAATTCATTAGTGAACACATCTAGACTTTATGCTTTCTGTTATGGAAGGTTATTCATTATTGATCAATTTCTTTAATAGATGTAGACGTATTCAGATTATCTGTTTCTCAGTGAGTTTTCATGGATTGTGTCTTTCAAAGAAGTGGTTCATTTCATCTAGATTCTCAGGTTTGTGAGCATAGAATTGTTCAAAATACTCCTTCATCATCCTTTTGATGTCATAGGATCAGTAGTAATGGCCTCTCTTTTATTTCTGATATTTTTCCATTTGTGTTTTCTCTCCTTTTTTCTTAGTTAACCTGGCTAGATATTTATCAATTTTATTGATTTCTTCAAAGAGTCGGCTTTTGGTTCCAGTGATGTTCTCTGTTAATTTTTTTGTTTTTAATTTCACTGATTTCTGCTCTAATTTTTCTTATTTCTTTTCTGGTGCTTACTTTAAATTTAATTTACTCTTCTTTTCCTGGCTACATCTTTTAAGAGTTCAACATATTATTGTTATAAATTAAAACTAAATGCTTCTGAGAGTCATAGTAAAATAAGACTTATTATAGTTTACAAGTGCCATATAAATCTGTTTTTTCCAGAAATATTATAAATAAGGCAGTTTTTGGTATTTCATTATAATAAGGTTGCTAATATTTGTATTTTTAATACTTTTCATCTATAAAGATCGTTTCATATACATTTAAAATTTTTTATTACATAGTTCACTTTAGTCAGAGTTTATTTTTAGAAGTCAATATATAGTATCATTTATAGATTAAAGTTGTTTCTGTATTCTAAAACAGATTTAAGGCAGATTTCACAAATAGCATATAGGACAAAAATAATGAAATAAAAATGGAATAGGTGACATATAGTTATAATGATAATTCTCAAATTTGGCTTTGTATTTTCAGGCAACCAAGATTTAAAAAAAGAGAGAGAGAGATGTGATTAAGTTTAAAAAAAAACAAAACCCTTCTTATCAGAAAGGAGAATTTGTTTTTTATTCTGTTTAAAAACTTTTTATTTATTTATTTTAAGTAAGCTCTACTCCCACTATGGAGCTTGAACTCATGACCCTGAGATCAAGAGTTACATGCTACACTGACTGAGCCAGCCAGGCACCCCTTAAACTTTATTTATTTATTTATTTAAGTATATTTATTTATTTTAAGTATATTTTTTATTCTAAGCAAAGTGTTCCTTAGCATCATATCACAAAATACATTGCTTATATTGGGCATTATCTAGAATAAACTAAGTGATGTAATGGTATAGTATATTAATTTCAGTTACACTCTTGTGTGATTAATTTTAATATAACATAATTTTAATTCTTGTGTAAATTTTAAAATAAAATAATATATAAAATAATATTTTATAGTTGTTTTTTAATATAAAATTAATTCTGTATAGCAACTTTAATGAACGTCAAAGGTATAATATTAAAATATAATTCAGGGGCACCTGGGTGGCTCAGTTGGTTGGGTGTCCAACTCTTGATTTCCACTTAGGTTGTGATCTCAGGGGGATCCAGCCCCACATCCAGCTCCATGCTCAGCAGGGAGACTGCTTGAGGTTCTCTCTCTTCTCCCTCTGCCCTTCCCCGCGTGCACGCCCCTCCCCCCCCCCGCTTGCACCTGCTCATGCAGTCTCTCCCTCTCTAAAATAAATAAAATCTTTTAAAAAATTAAAAAATATATATAATTCAGTGAGGGCAGTTTTAGGAGTTTCCAATGTAATAAGGTCTAAGTTTATAACATTTTAGTATTTGTCTGGAGTGGAAAGATTGCATATTCTTTAAATAATATGTTATTACTTTTTTTCAATTGGGCTTTCGGTAGGAATTTGATAGCAGAGAAGTTGAAGTTGCATATTCTGATTTGGGCCTGAAATGCTAGAAATTCAGTGTTCTTATTTGAGAGAAAAATTCATCTATTTGGAAATGAGATAATCAAGTGGTAAGATTGATAGTCTGTTGTAAAAATTGAGGATCCTAACCAAGTTCCTCACCCTGACAGTGCAATCAATGTCCATCACTGCATAGATGAATTTTATTTAAGATTTCTAAGTCACTCTATCATATGAACAAGTACTCCAGAGTAAATATATTCATCCACTTGTGTTATAGAACACCTTCAAAGATAATTTCATGTATTATCTGGGCTTTGCACCACATAATTTTTTATGATGGCAACCAATTCAGACCCACCAGTATGAAATGCAACAAAATGTACACCTAAATAATGGAAAATATATTAACATGCTATTTTGTTATATCATAAAAAGCAGTTGAGATTTGGAGAATTTGTTCATTACCTTGCAGGGGACAAGGCATATAATAATAAATAAGTAGTCACAAGGAGTTCATATTCTAGTGACAGACCAACTGCAGACTATTACAATACAGCGTACAAGTGCTACCCACCCAGGGGATCAGATATCCAAATATAGCACTAAAAGATGATAGGGATTAAACATGTGAAGAAGAAAGAAAGAACAGGAAAAGCTAGGTTATAAATGATCTTCAACTTAGGTATAGGTTATATTCTAAAAATACAGTCCTAGGGATGCCTCCTGGGTGGCTCAGTCATTAAGCGTCTGCCTTCGGCTCAGGTCATGATCCCACAGTCCTGGGATCAAGCCCTGCATTGGGCTCCCTGCTCCACAGGAAGCCTGCCTCTCCCTCTCGCACTCCCCCTACTTGTATTCCCTCTCTTGCTGTCTCTCTGTCAAATAAATAAATAAAATCTTCAAAAAAATAAAATAAAAATACAGTTTTAAGTTCATCTTAGCTTAGGCTCTACTTTCCTGTAGATAAAATGTGATGTATAGATCCCTATTCTTTCAAACCCTATTTAATTCATGATGTGGAATATTCCTAGTATTGTCTTTGAACTGAGAAGGGTTTATCATCCCCTCTCTTTCCCGTGAGAAGTTGGAGGAGAGGAATATTGAGATTCTTAATAGTAAAAGGAAGTATAACTCTAATCCTTACTTCCTTTTTCTTTTTCTTTTTTTTAAGTTGGGCATGGAGCCCAACACGGGGCTTGAACCCATGACCCTGTGATATCAAGACCTGATCTGAGGTCAAGAGTCGGACACTTAACTGACTGAGCCACCCAGGTGCCCCAACTCTAATCCTTTCTTACCTTTACTTTCACTGCTGACTTGTGCTAGGGGATAGAATTAGGATTTGGAAAAGAGGGAAGGCCAAGAAATACCACTCTAGACTTTTGTCATCAGCAGTCATAGACTGAGGTGAGGAATGAGAATTGGAGCTAGCAGTGAGCAGGGAGCACCAGAATGGTGGTGTTTGTAGCTAGAATGAAAAGAATGGTTAAGAGAAGGAAAAATCCCTCACAGGGAAAAAGGAATTCGTTTCATGCCCTGTACAGTCCATCTGACAAATGTCCCTTGGTAATGGATTTTCAAAAGACAAAATATGAATACCACTTGCACATCCCAGATGACTCTTAAGAGTTCTCCATTATTGTGAGTGAAGGGGCAGGCCAGTTTTTAAAAGTGCCCTCTTTTGTTCCATTTCAAAATAGGCTTTCGCCAGTCAAAAAAGTTGTGTGTGTGTGTGTGTGTGTGTTATGTTAATTTAACATAAATGTTGAGGTAGTGTACTGAAAAGTGAAAAACATCAGGCTGATTTTCCGCTGGTAACTCTGAAATTGGGAGAAAAACACTAGAATTTTTTAAAAATTAGATTCTTCACTTAGCCCTTTTAAAGGGATTTTTGAGAAATTTATGGCTTTCAGAGTTCATATTCACTAGATGTAATTTGTATTCCATGCATAGTCCTTTGGTTTTCTGTAGTATTCCCTTCTTACTATTTATTCTTGGTATTTATTGAAGTTGCCAAAAATCTGTTTATTATCTTGACCTCGTTATTTTGTTTTATATTTTTAATTTGTCTGTTTTCCATGTAGCTGTTGTTATCCAAATTGTATTCTCCTTTGAACTCACATTGTATAAAAATAATGAATCTTTGGGATTACAGAAATTGTTTCTCTTAGTATTTTCCTTTACTTCAAGAAACTGAGAAAGGATCTCTAGATAATATATATATTGGCCAAAATAACCTTTTACCACATATACATAAATTATGTGTATTACCCCAAAAAAACCAAATATGTACTAATTGACAAATATACTTTCTTTCATAAAGCATATACAAAAGAAGCAATAAATTGTACTTGAGGAAAATATAATTTTCCCTACTCTTTATCTGTGGTGTACATTGGAGTCTGACCCGGATTTGAATCTCAACTCTCTACTACTTCTACTCTGGTAACCTTGAATAAATATATGTTTCTGTGTGTCTGTTTCTTCATCTTTAAAATGGGACTAATAATTCCTAGTTCGTAGTGTTACTTGGAGAATTAAATGAGATTATCTAAATTAGTAGTTTTTAAACACTCTCTGGTACTCTAGATCACTGTGGGGACATTTGATGGGTCATTTGTATCTATTTTATGGGGTTCTGCAGAAGATTTGGTTTGAGAGAGAGGGTCCTGAGGTTCTCTGTTTAAAAACATTTGAAAGCCATAGCTGCAAGTAAAGTGCCTTGCACAGATAGAACCTGGACATATGCTAGTTCTCATGCAGGTTAGAAAATCTTGACTTCACTCTTTTCCCTCCTTCATGGGAATCAGTATATTGAAATGCTAAGTTCCTTTTCTTTAACTGCTTTATCGAGGTCTAATTCACATACCATACAGTTCACCTATTTAAAGTGTACGATTTGTTGGTTTTTGGTATATTCACAGAGTTGTACAACCACAGCCAAAATGTACTTTCAGAACATTTCAATCACCTCCGAAAGAAACTCCCTACCCATTATCAATCAAACTAACTTATTTTGGATTCTATTTCCATTGCTTATTAGAACTTTAAATATAAGTAAATTGATATATCAAGAAGAAAGGAAAACAAATCTAATGAGCCATGTTTCTTCACTGATTTGTAGGTACAGACATTAGAGTCCATTATGGCATTTAGCATACTTAATTTTATATATTAAGTCACCAAAGACAGTTCTTTACATTTTTCACTTCTAGAAGTTCATTTGTCTACTTTCATGACTTCTAAAGATAACTACTTGATCTGTGTATGTCCTGCTCTTAGTTGAGAAATTCAACAAATACTTTGTCAAGTACTTGTTATGAGCCACGTGCTATGTTAGACTCCTAGGGTGAAACAGTTAATTAAACAATTTTTAGAAGGGTGGCATGTAAACAAAGGAGAGTAATAAAGTGTGATCATACTATAAAGAGGTATGTAAAGTGCTGATGGTACACATTTAAGAGAGTAATAAATTCTTCCAGCCAAGAAGGAGATTGAGGGAAGGGCAATAAGGGGAAGGAACAGAGGTTGAAGAGAGTTGCAGAGAAGCTCGTCCTTAAAGAATGAATAGAATTCACTGCACAGGTAACAGAGGAGGAATATATTCTTAAAAAGCTAAGAGAATAACCCAAGCCTATGCTTAGAGGACTAAAAGCATACATGATATTTAATGAAAAGTGAGGTATTTGATGTGACTAGAGGAAACTAAATACAGTGAGTAGTTGTGAAACAGAAAAGGTTGACTAGAGCCTGAAAGTCAGCTTAATACCTTATTTTATTACCTTCCCTCCTCTTCTTCCCTGACTTCATTCTACAGATAATTAGCCTTTCCCAGTCTAATATTTCAGTTCACATTAACATAGTTCCTACTGCCATCATCCTAGTTTCCCTGGAGTTATCTTTGACTTTTTTTCACTACTTTGCTTCCCATATCCGTTCACATGTTAATTATTATATATCTGTCTCTTTCTTTCCATTCCCACAGACACTATCATGGTCTCTTTCCTAGGATCTCTTTTCCATTTCTTTTGTCCATTTTTAATATTATATTTTTCCATTCCTAGGACTTCACCTCTTAATCTGTTTTGGTACTGAAGGTAGCTTTAATACAATAGCTAAAATAGTTTCTATTTGAAGATTGTGAAGGGCCAAAAGGTTTATAAGAAGGAAAACTCTTACAGAGTTTATTATGCTCCTATCAGGAGTTGATTGACAAGGGGATTCTCTCTACTGATGTAGAATATATTGTTGAGTTAAAGTAAAGAACAGAAGAGTATAGTATATTCCCTTTGTGTCAGAAAGCTGAAGAATATTAGAATATAGACCCTATTTTCTTACATTTTGCATAAAGGAACTGGACAACTATAGAAGAAATAATTGAAGTAAATATTCATAGGCTTAAGGGTGGAAGAGAAGATGGGTGAGGGCAGGTCTCAAAGTATACTTTCTTATGTTGTTTTGATTTTTAAACTGAGTATTTCATCTATTTAAAATTCTGGCCTTGTGTGCCACTGTGGGGGAGTGGGATTGGAGGACTCTGACTGATTTTCTGTTACCTTATATATGAAATCACTCCTTAGTCTACCATTGAGACTTCTGCTCTCTGATTATGCCATGGTGTGATCCCTTTCACTGAAATGAACTCTGTTCATGTCCCCAAATCACTTTCAAAACTTAAGTCAAAATACATTACTTCCTTCTCTGCAGTTGGTTAACTGTTTATTTCATTCTATCATTTTAGCTTAATATATTTATGTTCTCTGTTTGTTTTGATTCTTCATTGGTATCTCTGAGTATTCTGATTTTATTTCATGAATGATTTCTACTCCCATTTAGATTGTTAACACTTTCAATAGAAATCATATTCTTTTCTCTTTTGTATTATTGAAACATAATTTCGTAGATACTTGATAAAGATGATTTTTATTTACTTTGGAAGATCCTAACATTTTAACTTCTTTTGGATAATTTTAATAAATTTTAAATTAGAAGAGGTATCATAGAGAAAAGCTAAGTTTGACTACTTTTCCATTACCTAAAACTTCAAAGTATAAAGTAGGAAAATTAATGAGGAAAATTAGGTTTATTTAAAAACCATGGAAAATAATTTATTTAGGGTAATTTTCTGTCCAGTTAAAGTGAAAATGTGTGGATTTGCGCACTAAAAAAGTAAACATAACATGACCACTTGACATTAATTTGCATGGAATGCAATATGATTTATATGCTAGTTACTAATTAATAGTAATTGAGATTGGTGTGATTTTTATCTTTGCTAATATATATATAAAGTCAGATATGATAAAATAGTTATTGTTTTTTACATTAAGTATATGATCAAAAGTAAGAAACTTGAAAATAAATTCTATTAGGAAATGAATGTTTTTAAAAATTGATCATAGAAAATTGAAACTTGTAAGCTGAGAGGCCCTTAGTGTGTTTTTATTACTTGATGTAGCCTAATCTAATATTTATTTTGAAACAGGCAAGAAAACTAGATGTATATTTTGAATATGAAGAAAAAATAATGAGCAAAACTACTCTGGATAAATCTCTTCTAGATATAATATCAGACCCTGATGGTATGTACCATAAATTTGAGGTTACTGTTAAGACTCACAGCTGATGAATCCAGCATTTTCAATTTAAGTAAAATCTGAATAGAATTATTTTTTTTTCCTGACAACCCATGCTAATAATGAGATAACTAAATGAGCTATTTTCTGTTGAGAAGTTTGTAGCAAAGCAGTTCCTAAAGTGGAAAAAATGATTTGCATTTTATTTCATTGAACTTTTTTCTCATGGTATTTAAGAACTTGTTATATTCATTTATTTAAAGTGATACATCTGAAGTTCAATTTCTGCTGATTTTAGGAAGATTTGACAATTCAAAGCAGGTGTCTCTAAGTGATACACTTTCTAATTACTTTGGTTTAACCCTAAAGAGTTTCCTAAAAAGATACATCTAAAACTGAATTCTGTTTTAAATATTTAGGGAATTTGCTTTTAAAGAAACTCCTTAATCAGTCCCTTTATATTTACATTTACCTAAGTATTTGTATGTTAGATTTTCTTAAAACAAGATACAATTCTTTGTACTTAGAAAATGTATTATAATTATTGCTTTCAATTATAATGATCATGGGATCTGCATAGGTTTTAGCCTCTAAAATTATCTAAACTTTAGAGATTTGATCATTTCAGAGTAGCTTTCAATTCAAATCTCAGTGCTTTTCCAAAATGAAAAAAGATTATATAAGCTGTTCAGTTTATATTTTGCATACAAGTTATTTAGCTGAATGATGGTTTTTGAGTTAAAGTTTGGTATGAGTTTAAGTTGAAAAATAATAA